GTGTGTGTGTGTGTGTTTGACATACCTCTCCCTGTATGGTGTTCCATGCATCCTTCAGCCCGGCGTTGTTGTCTGTGTTGTACAGCACCAGCCCTTCCTTCAGGTCCCGTCTGGCATTTTCGCTCACCTGGGCAAACAGAAGTGAAGAGGTGGATTGTGGGATATGTAGGTACACTTCACCTACAGTGAGTAGAGGATCATTAATAAATATGAATACGTTCCTTTACGCTGTCTCACCTTGTCGGTGTAGACAAAGAACAGGATGAGGAGGATAAGTTCGGCCAGGAGGATGATCAACAGAACGATGAAAAACTGAAGAAAATAAAGAGAAAAAGAAGATTGAAAGGCTTAAACGTGAGCAGAAACGTGCAGGATACACTAAAGTTGTATTTATGTCGATGGAAAAACAAAAAATACGAGCTCCCTACTACAAAATCCACTTAATTTCAGCTTTTTAGATGTAAATTATTGAAAATGAACTTGTTAGCTGCTCCAACATTTAGAATTCAGAACATGAACACAACAAAACTAAAATAACGCACTCTAACTGATATCTCAACAACCCACGCAAAGCATGATGGGTATTGTAGTACACTCACACTGAGCAGCAGGCACTTGTTCTCCTTGATGGCACCCAGGCAACCCAGGAAACCCGTCACCATGACGACTGTGCCGAGGGTGATGATGAGGTTGGCGGCGGAGAGCGACGGGAAGGAGGGCGACAGGGTGGCGAAGCTGCCCTGAGACACCGACAGCCACACGCCGACACCCAACAATCCACACCCACCCAGCTGAAACACACACAGGAAACTCAGACACTTCCTGCCGATTTAACGATAACGAAGCACTCGCCATGTTTTGGTCTTACTTCTGATTCAAGGCGACATCTAAAAGAACATTTCTGGACTCAGTGTGTGGAGTATTTACCCAGAAGAGGAGGTTGAAGAGGAAGAGCATGTATTTGACGCAGCAGATGCAACCACGAGCCATGATTGAACTGAAAGGCACTGCAAGAAACAACGAAAAGACGACATGACTTAATGATTACGTCTCTTTTATTCAAATCGGACATTATTCAAACATATTATTGTCTGTCAAACGTCTGATTCGTGCAGGGATGAATAACAGGGCTCCCACTCTTCTTAAGAGATCCTTTTCCAGAACCTTTCCAAGACTTTACCAGGACTTTTCTTGACAATACAGGACAGCACTTGCTTACAAATGGTCATATCATTTACCCAGTTTTTCCTTTTCCAATGATACAGGGTTCATGGCAAAGTGATTCATTACAGGTGTTTACAGGACGCTTTATGGATTTGACTACAGTGTTCCTCAAACCTTAGGTTTACATAGGCGATCTGAGTGCGGGCTAAAATACTGTTAAAATTGTCCTAAAAAAGGACAACATAGATCCAGGATTTCCAGGATATTTAGTAACTATAATTAATTTCCAGGTGTTTCCATGACTGGAGAACAAGTCTCTAAACATCCAGGTTTTCCAGGACGTGTGGGAACCTTCAATAAACTATATAAAATCATGTCACAAACCATAATGACTAGCCAGGGTTAAAGGCAGGGGTTCTTTTATCTTTTGGAGCTTGTAGTTCACCGACCCCTCTATTACATCACGCTGACTGTAAAACCACTTCCCTGGAGAGTCATTCTGAAACCACATCACAACCAGGAGGAGACAAACTTACCACTTCAGGGGGAGAAGCAGGAGAACGGAGACGCTCTGGTGGTTGACCTGTGACACAACAGTATGCACAAACATTTAAAACATAAAACATACAGTACAGCCGTCATTTAAAGCGATACTTGAGGTTTACAGACAGAACGCTCCTGATTATTGAGGCTGCCTTCTTTGGTCACTCACCAGCAAAATAAAAAGTAAAAGCACAGGACTGGGGGGCGGCGTTACTCACAAACGTGCAGGAAATGCTTTAATTATCCACCCACTACACAGTCTACGTTTAAGTTTCTTGATTCTGACAATAATGTCGGTAAACATACAACACTAACAGTTATCAGGGAATTAATCTGTTGATCTGATTGATTTAGTTGTTTGGTCTATAAATAGGTAAAAAGGTCCATCACTGTTTTAAACTGTTAGTTTGATCCAACAGTCCAAAAAATGTATCTGTTATTAAAACAGTCGGTGATTCATTTTACATCAATAGACTAATAAACCACCACAGGCACGAGTTAACCAAACTCTTCACTTAAATGTTTGTAATTTCCTTAAAAATAAACAGTATTTTCCCTTTAACATATTCAGTGCAACTGTTGTTTTCTGTTCACCAGCAGCTTCTTTTATGCCCGGAGACTCAGACAGTCAGCGGTGGAAGAAGCATGGATTTATAATATTATATATGATAGACATAGTGAAGTATAAACATAACTGTTGATTTAAGCACAGTACTTGAGTAAATGTACTCCGTTACTATCACCAACAGTATTAGATTTTATTTATTAAAAATGTTTATTTATTTTTTTGTAACAGACTTGAAGCATTGGTTTTAGTGTCCAATAGAGCACATCACTAGCATTATTTATAATTATTATTATTTGTATTATTATCAGACTCAGTGTCTTATTTCTCCTCTCACCGTGACGTCACTGGACTGAACTTCAGTTTTGCGGTTTTCACCAAAGTTTGCGCACAAATAAAAACTGAACCAAAACACGCGTTATTACACTTTTAATGGTAAGAAAACACGCTGATATTCGCCTCCACAAGACTCAAATAATAAACATATAAAAGAAGCACTCAGGCCGTGATTGTTTTCATGCCCACGGAAACCAGACGAGGGACAAAAAGAAGGAAAGCAGAGCGCTGGTTTTTCCTACCGTTTGGCTACGAACTGGAACGCATCTTCCCGCAGAAACAGCTTCACATGCGGGATTTGTGCGGGGGGTCCCTCACAGCATCGCTCCGTATGAAAAGAGAAATCCGACGGCTGTAAAAAGTGCGAAGTCTGCTCTGAACTTTCGTCGATGGCTCTGAGAACAGGAGGAGGAGGAGGAGGA